CAATATTAACAGGAATTTTGAAAAAGCTGATTGCAACCCTCATGGATGATTTTGAGGGATTCAAGATTTCAGTGGAAATGTGGTGGAAATAGTGAGAGAAGTATGTGACTGAACTGCTTCAATCTCATGATAAAACTTTAATGGATGAGAAGTTGCTTCTTACTCTTGAGATGCAGTGAAGATGTTGTGAACTGTTGAAATGACAACAAAGGATTTAGAATATTCATAAACTTAGTTGATAAAGCAGCAGGAGAACTTGAAAGGACTGACTCCAATTTTGAAAAAGTTCCACTGTGAGTAAAATATTATCAAACAGCACCTCATACTACAGAGAAATTGTTCGTGAATCAATCAATGTGGCAAACTTCACTGTTGTCTCATTTTAAGAAGTTGCCACAGCTACCCCAGTCTCCATCGACCACCATCCTCATCAGTCAGCAGCCGTCAACACTGAAGCTACCAGCTACAAGAGCATGACTTGCTGAAAGCTCAGATAATGGTTAGCATTTTTTAGCAATAAAGTATTTTAAAATTAAGGTGTGTACATTTTTTAGACATAATGCTACTGCATATTTAATAAGACGACAGTGTAGTGTAAACCTAACTTTCATGTGCACTGGGAAGCCAAAAAGTTCATTTGGCTCACTTTATTGTGATATTCACTTTACTGTGGTAGTCTGGGACCAGACCCACAGTGTCTCTGAGGTTTGTCTGCACTAAAAACCATTCAACTGTACACTTTAAATGAGTGAATTGTATGGTACGTCAATAAAGCTGTTGAAAGAGTGATCTTGGGAGTGCTGTAATGCTGTTGTGAATGGGCAGAAATATGGGCAATTTTTACTTCTACTTTTCTGCATTGTCTAGATTCATTCTTTTCAGCCAGTATGTATTTTTTCATAACTAGAACAAAGTTTTTCCCATCTTGAAAAAAAAATAAACACTACCATTAAAATATACAAACTATGGCTTGACCTTTTTAATTCCTTCAAACAAATATTTTAACACGTTGGGCATCTCCTATATGCCAGGCACTGTTGTAAGTACTTGGGATATATCAACAAGCAAAACAGACAAAAACCCTAGCATTTTCACAGAACTTTCACTGGGTAAATTTAATGGAGAGACAATAATTAATCAACAAACTATACAGTATATTAAAAGGTAAAACACACTATAGAGAAAAGCAAAAGCAGCAGGATGGAGAACATGAAGAGGGGTTTGCAATTTTATACTGATAAAATGACACCCGAGATATTTTTTTTTAAAGTAGGTTCCCTGCCGAGCATGGAGACCAACGTGCAGCTTGAACTCACAACCGCAAGATCAAGACCTGAGCTGAGATCAAGAGTTGGATGCTTAACCGACAAGACAGTTACCCTTGTAAATACATGGGGGAAAGGTGTCCGAGGCAGAGGAAACAATTAGGGCAAAGGTCCTAATGTAGGACCTTTTCTTTCATGATGCTGCTATAGTTTAATGAAAGTATTCCAATATTACACATTTAGATCACAGCATTTTTTTTTAAGATTTATTTGACAGAGAGTGAGCAAGCGTGCATGCACACAAGTGGGGGGAGGAGCAGAGGGAATGGGAGAAGCAGACTCCCCACTGAGCAGGGAGCCCGACATAGGGCTGGATCCCAGGATCCTGAGATCATGACCTGAGCCAAAGGCAGACACTTAACTGACTGAGCCACCCAGGCACCCCACATTATTTGTCTTTATATTGAAATTTAAAAGTTGAAACATAAAGGAACTGCTTTTTTGCTTTGAATTATCATCTTTTATTTTTAAAGTAGGCTCCATGCCCTGCACGGAGACCACTGCGGGGCTTGAACTCCTGACCCTGAGAATCAAGATCTGAGCTAAAATCAAGAGTCAGACGCTTAACTGACTGAGCCACCCAGGTGTCCCTTGAATTATTATTTTTTTAAATATTTATTTAAGTCATCTCTACACCTAACATGGGCCTTGAATTCATGTCCCCAAGATCAAGAGTGGCATACTCTTCAAATGAGCCAGCCAGGCACCTCTGTTTTGAATTATTTTAATACAAGTTGTTACAATGAAATTTATCTTTATGGCTGTAAAGTTTCCTGTTTACATCAATGTTTACTGTTACACAAAAAATGTTGAGGCTCAATGTTTTCTATTTGGCAGATAAGTTGGGCCTTGTTTGAGGTACAACTGGCATAAGCTAGTTCTTTTTTTATTTTTTATAGAGGTAAAATTGGCATAACATTAGTTCCAGGTGCACAATATAATGATTTAGTATTTGTATATATTGTAAAATGACCACCACAATAAGTCCAGTCAACATCCATCACCATACATAGTTACATAATATTTTTTTCTTGTGATGAGAACTTTCAAGATGAGTTGGTTCTTAAAAACAAGCAATAGAGTACCACTAACGCTACTGCTTCTGCTATTACTACTATTACCAACTGCTAATATTTGAGTTCTTTGTGCCAGGCACCGCTCTCTGTTACATAAAACACTGATCCTCTCAACACTATTTGGGGTAAATACTATTACTGACACAATTTAAGAGAACTGAAGCACAGAGAGATTAAATAACTTGCCCAATGTCATAGTATATAGTGATAAAGCCATATTTCAAACTCAAGCAGTCTGCCTCCACAGCATATGTTCTTAACTATTACCTATGGCTGAAAACAATCCTGCCCATTTTTTGAACATCTATGACATTTATTTATACCTTTTTCTAACTCTGTCCTTGAGTATAAGGAGTTCCATGAATCATCAAACTATGTCATGAACAAAATCTTAACCACTGGTCCATGTACTGCCCTCCTATGTCACAAATTTTCTTTAATAATAACATTATGAACAACTATGATATCACAGCCCAAGAACTAGAACATCACCACAAAAATCATATTAGCGCTTCTCCCTATCCTAACCCTCCTTCAGCTTTTAAAAATTAACCACTATCCTGAATTTTATGTGCATCTAAAAAATATTTAGTTTTGCTCATTTTAAAACTTTACAAAAAGGTAACTTACCATATATAATCTTCTAGGACTTGTTCCCACTCTCCTTCCTCTCAATACTAAGATTCACCTATTTGTTATATATAGTTTTATTCATGTTTAGAACTATGCAACATTCTATTTGTACTATCATAATCATTTATCCATTCTCCTGTCAATGGGCATTTAGGGTGTTTTTACTTCTTTCAACCCTGCATTATAGTTTTGGTTCTCTGAGTACTGTGTAAGCAATTTAAAGATAGGTTATATCTTCCTATCTCCTAGAAGACCAAGCACACTGTTTTGCATATGTGTCAAAAAAAAAAAAAACTGAATTAGTGAATGACACATGGACCAACTAAAGGTGATATGGCAGATATCACCTTAGAAAAGATCCTTACCCAAAACCACATTTTGAAGGAGGCTAATTTTCTATATAATAACCAAAAGTTAGAAAAATCAGTGGTATATCGAGACAACTTTTAAGAAGTGTTGGGTTGGTTGTGCCTGAAAGAAAATATCTAATTGATTATTTTAATAATAATGGCAGCTTATATTATTAGTTCAGTACTATGTTGCAAGCACCGCGCTAAGCACTTAATATGGATTAACATATTAGATCTTCAGAACTCTATACAAGTATCTGACACTGTATCTGTATAACATTATCTGACATTGATGACCATTCTCTCCTTCAAACATTTCCTGTACTTGACTTCCAGGACACCATACTCACTTGGTTTTCCTCCCACTTCCTTGTTTTCCTATCCTGGATCCTCCCTTTCTTCTCCACCTCTAAACATCAGTTCCATCCTTGGATTTCTCTCTAGTCACTCTCTAGGTTGTTTGATCCAGCTCCATAGATTTTAATACTGATAACTTACACAAGAAAATTTTAATCTACAACCCTAATCACTCCCCTGAATTTAAAACTGTTACCTCCAAATGTGTACTTGACCTCTTCCTGCAACGTTTCCCTCCTCTATAATTAGAACCATCACTTCATCCTGTTGCTCAAGCTATTCTTGATGCCTCATCTTTTCTTATGTATCAGCAAATCCTGTAGGTTCTATTTCCCCAAAATACCTAGAACCCACTACTCCTATCTCTATTGCTTCCCAACTTGTCTAAATTACGATCATCTTTCACCTGGACTACTGTAATTGCTTCCTAACTACTCTGCTTCTACTCTTACCTTTACCATCCACAACACAATAGACAGGAAGGTCTTACAAGGTCCATAAGACCCCTCCAGGATTTTGGTGTTTGGCCATTTCTTAGATTTCATATTTGACCAATCTCCCATCACCCAATTCACTCCAGCAACAATATCTCCTTACTGTTCCTCAAACACATTAACCTCAGGGTCTTTGCACTGTCTGAAATACTCTTCCCTTGGTTAGCCCCATAGCTCCATTCTCCCAGTTTATGCAGTTTTTTACTCAAATGCCTCAGTAATATCTTCTCTAACCATACATCTAAAATAGTACACTCCTGTGTTTTTCCACTCCTTTCACCTTTCTTTTTCTTCAAAGCAATTGTCACTAATATAATTACTTATTTTGTTTATGTCTTCTCTACTAAATTATAGGCTCAAAAAGGGCAAGAAGTATGTTTGCTTCATTTAAGGCTGTACTTTCTAAAGGGACAGTCTGTGGCACATATCAGGTGTTCAGTAAATATTTAATGAGTGAAAGAATGTTGAATAAAGCAGACAACCCGCAATTTTCTGCTAATTAACATCTGCAAAGTGCCTTTTATACTCCTACGTAAGTACATAATTACAGACTTACAATAACCATACTTTTATTGGTGAAATTAAACTAAACTGCTAGGAAATTCTCCCTTTAAAAATGTCATTCTTAGAGGAGTTTTAAGTCCCAAATTTCAATGTCTCTATTAGTTACATGGGAACTGCCTTTAATACTTTTTCCGAAGAAAGAAAAGCAGTCCTACAACTAAAGGAAAATAAACAGAAAAATTATTCCATTAGGATGCTTACCATTTCTTTTGGACCAGGGGTGTAAGCATGAACTTTTCACAAGTGCTTCATCAACTTTTCCTCCTGACATGTTATCCATGAATTGACGCCCATGTTCTAATGCAAGGTAGCAGTCATTGCAACAGTCCCGCTCTTCAACACGTACCCAATTACTAATTACACCAATCCTGGGAAAAGGGTCTTGGTCTGCTGCTCCAAAAGGTGAAAATAAATTAGTGCACTGATCTTGTAGCAATAATATCAACTCATCAGGGAATTTCTCAGATTCCTTTAGTCCTCCATTAACATGTTCAGCAGAAGTAGCCCTGAGAGCTTCAAAACGTTTTTCTGCTTCTTTGCCACATTCTGTGTTGCGTCCTATGATATCTAGTTCATCTTCAAGAAATAATCCTGAATTGTTTCCAAATTTTCTGTTCATGACAGCACTGAAGCCGCAGGTACACCTATACTGTGCTTCCTGCATTGGATCTGGAATGTAAACTCCAACATCTGCACCCTTGATATTCATGTTGCAGACACAGATACAGCAACTATCAAAGTTACAGTCTTTAAACAAATTCATAACTGATTCTGAAAGAATGAGGTTTACATAAAGACTGTGTGCTTCAGGGATGGAGGGAACAGTTGCAGGTTCAACAGAATTAAGGGGTCTGCATGTGGAGGGGGTGGAAGCTGGTGAATACAAGTCTGAGTTTTCATATTTGACTGAACCTTGAGCACTAGCAGGTCCACCAGCTCGAGGAGTCCTTGGAGTCCTTGGAGTCCTTGGAGTCGGAAACCTAGGTGTAGATGGAGAAGGAAGAATTCCTGCTCCACTGTTACTAGGAGGTGCGCTGCTAGGAGGCATCCCAAAAGAAGTATGAGTTTGAGGTGTATAAGCAGGACCATATTCTTGATCGATAGTACTCCCATCACTGGTGTCACCAGGGTAAAAAATTAAACACATACATAGAGGAACATATTAATAATATGAAACAGAACTAAAAATCTCCCAGTATTTTTCAGTAACACTGAAAATGAAAGCACAATTAGTGCAAAAGTTACAAGTATAATTAAAATATGTATCTGGTTATTATATCCACTCTAGGTGACTGTTGTAGACTGTGGACTAACCGACTAGTTCCAAAACTGTAAATAAAATCTGTTTACACTTATCTACACCTAGACATCCACATTTACTATCCGTATTTCTTGTACTACAAATAACCATATTTCATTGATCCTAAGATGTCACTGTTAAAAAAAAAAATCCTGATTTTAGAGATGTTTACATGCAATAAGGGACAATGTCAATTGTAAGATCCTACCAATTATAAGACATCCCAATTTCAGAGATATTAAAATATGAGAAGTATGTGATATGGCAAATACACAAATGGGATTTAGAATTTCAGAGCAAAACAAAAGGTGCTTCTGAAGAAAACTTCCACCCACAAATGAAGACAAATAACCAAAGCATAATGGTCTTAAGTTTTCCAACAGTTTATCAACATGCAACTAATACCATTATAATTTATTGATCAAAAAACAATTTTTAGAATTAAAAAAACAGTATCTTTTTTCTAAGTACTAGGAAAGCAGGTACTTCTGTGAAAAAAATTAAAGCTATGTAAGCACACCTACACTATACCAATAACATAAATCTAAATCATACCCCTCTTTGATGAATGGCACTGCAGGCCCTGAAGGAAGCAATTCCAATTTTCCAACAGTCCAACTCTGACGGTAAATACACTCTTCTGGCAATTTGATAGGAGGCAGACATTGGCTTGGTAGACTTTTTAGAGGTGCAAACATGGAACATCCCACCAAAACTTGACAATTTTCAGGCTTATAGACATAAGAAAAATCCTATAATACAAAGACCATGACTTTCAGCATCTTATCTTCCAGGGGAAAAAAGCCAAACTCACTCTAGCCTTTTTCCCCCCTCTCTTTAAACAAAATAATAAAATGTAAATATATATATATATATTTTTTTTTTAAAGTAGGCTCCACGCCAAAAGTAGGGCTTCAACTCATGACCCTGAGACCAAGAGTCACAATCTCTACTGACTAAGCCAGCCAGGTACCCAATTTAATTTTATTCTTAAATGAATTCACTCTATTTTAACTCCAATTAATTAACATACAGTGCTATATTAGTTTCAGGTGTATACTACAGTGATTCAACAATTCCGTACATCACCCAGTGCTCATCACAAGTGCACTCCTTAATCCACATCACCTATTTCATCCAACCCCCTACCAACTTCCCCTCTGGTAACCATCAGTTTATTCTTTATAGTCAAAAGTGATTCTTGGTTTGTCTTTTTTTTTCCTTTGCTCATTTCCCCCCTTTATTTCTTAAATTCAACATATATGTGAAAGCATATGGTATTTGTCTTTTTCTGTCTGACTTATTTTGCTTAGCATTACACTCTCTAGCTCCATCCAAGTCATTGAAAATGACAAGATTTCTTTCTTTTTTATGTCTGAATAATATTCCTATGTGGGTGTGGATGTGTGTGCATGTGCATACACATCTTTATCCATTCATCTGCTCAACATCACTCATCATCAGGGTTATGCAAATCAAAACTACAATGAGAGGGGCTCCTGCCTGGCTCAGTTGGTAGAGCATGCAACTCTTGATCTCAGGATGGTTGAGTCTGAGCCCCATGTATGGCATGGAGTTTACTAAAGGTAAAAAAAAAAAAAAACTAAACAAATAAAACAAACTACAATAAGATCACCTCACATTTGTAAGAATGGTTAAAATCAAAAACACAAGAGGGACGCCTGGGTGGCTCAGTTGGTTAATTGGCTGCCTTTGGCTCAGGTCATGATCCCAGGGTCCTGGGATCCAGCCCCATGTTGGGCTCCCTGCTCAGTGGGGAGCCTGCTTTTCCCTCTCCCTCTGCCTGCTGCTCCCCCTCCTTGTGCTCTCTCTCTCTCTAATAAATAAATAAAATGTTAAAAAAAATGACACACACAAGAAACAACTGGTGTTGGAGAAAAAGGAACCCTCTTGCACCCCTGGTAGAAATGCAAACTGGTGCAGTCACTGTGGAAAACAGTGAAGGTTACTAAAAAAGTTAAAAACAGAACTACCCTACAGTCCAATAATCACACTGCTGGGTATTTACTCAAAAGTTACATGGGGCGCCTGAGTGGCTCAGTCTGTTAAGTGGCTGCCTTCAGCTCAGGTCATGATCCAGGGTCCTGGGATCGAGCCCCGAGTCCAGCTCCCTGCTCAGCGGGGGAGTCTGCTTCTCCTTCTCCCTGCCGCTCTCCCTGCTTATGCTGTCAAATAAATAAATAAAATTTTTTTAAAGAAATTACAAAAACAAAAAAAATTAAAAATTACAAAAACACTAATTCAAAGGGATTCGTGCAACCTTATGTTTACAGCAGCATTATTTACAATAGCAAATTATGGAAGCAGCCCAAGTGTTCTTAAAGGCATTCTTAATAGTGTCACCACTCTTTAGTCTTCAAATCTGTTAACTACAAAATAAGAATCACCATGAATAGATTTTTTTAATACAGCAACAAACTGGGGGTGCCTGGGTGGCTCAGTCAGTTAAGCAGATGTCTTCGGCTCAGGTCATGATCCCAGGGTCCTGGGATCAAGCCCCGCATCGGGCTCCCTGCTCAGCAAGGAGCCTGCTTCTCCTCTCCCACTCCCCCTACTTGAGTTCCTTCTCTGTCTCCCTCTCTGTCAAATAAATAAATAAAATCTTTAAAAAAAAAATACAGCAACAAACGGAATCTGTAAGAAAATATTGGAGGAGTGCTTGGGTGGCTCGGCTGGTTGGGTGTGTGGACTCTTGATTTTGGCTCAAGTCACGATCTCAGGGTTGTGAGATAGAGCCCCACAGCAGGCTCCACACTGGGTGTGGAGCTTGCTTAAGATTCTCTCTCTCCCTCTGCCCCTCCCCAGCCTCCCCACTCTTAAATTAAAAAAAAAAAAAAAAAAAATATATATATATATATATATATATAAGCATATATATACATATATAAAGTGAATTATTTTTCTAGAAAAATAAAATACTTACTTTAATTTCAGAAGGTTTTGGGCTACAGAATCCTTCATCAACCTCAATTTTGAACTGTGTTCCTATACTAGAACTATTTCCTTCTAGAACAGTTCCTCCAGGTGTTATATCCATACTACCATATTCTTTATTGCTCATATTCATTGGGGAAAATCCCATAATATGTTGTTCCAATGATGGTGGTGTAGGATACATTTTATGAAGATCTGCAGTGCCTATATTTAATAAAACACACATTTTAACATAAGACTAAAAAGAAGTTAATCTGTGTTTAAAAGAAAGGAGTGTGGAATTTTATTCAGATTAAAAATTTGCAGATTTATCTGGAGCAGATTTGGGAAGCTTACTTATGCAAGATAGTGGGTCCAGATTTCCTGTCTTTGATTCCTTACTGCTGGATTTATCATCTGTTCCATTTGCTGACTTTTTAGATCCAGGCTATTAACAAAAACAAAAACACATTATTTATCTGAAATTTTAAGTCCAATGTGATCCAAGATGGTAATCATTAAGATATAACTTGAAGGTCAAACCCATTCACCAAATATATTATTCTGGTTGTGCCAGAGATAAATATTGGTTATTAGAAAAATTTATAAAGATGTAAAACACTTTTTAGGCAATCAATGAACCAAGATTAATTTGTTTATTTGATAATCCTGCAAATTAACAGAGGGAAAGTTCCTCCAAGACACAGGACCAATACTTCCAGAACACACAGAAGCAAAAATAACCTACCACTTAAAGCCTATTAAAATTAAAAAAAAAAAAAAAGGAAACCTGCAATAAGAAGGATTTATAATATCAGAACTGCTTCTTAGTAAAAGATATTCATAAAGCATTTGTCCCCTTAAATAAAACACACTGAAGTTTCCTATATATTCAATCACCCCTCTGAAACCTAATTTATACTTTTATCTTGTTTAATAATCTCCTTACCCTTATAAAAATGCTACAACATGTAAAACAAAGCACAAACTTCAGAAAGATCTCATTTGATAAGTAACAGGATACCTAACTAAAAATTAGTTTTAATACATTGAACAAATCGTTTTACCATCTCCAATCTGTCACCAATGTTTTTAGACCTGACGACTTAGTTCCAAGCCTCCTGTTAGCCACTTTGTCATAAATATGTAGACTGAGTTCTAATTACAACCTTTTTACCTCACAAGAGCCACAGCTGATACATGAATGGTAACAGAGAGAAAGCATAAAAGTACCAAAGTATTCAGGGATATAGAATGTAAGTTTATGGGGCGCCTGGGTGGCTCAGTCATTAAACGTCTGCCTTCGGCTCAGGTCATGATCCCAGGGTCCTGGGATCGAGCCCCGCATCGGGCTCTCTGTTCAGTGGGGAGCCTGTTTCTCCCTCTCCCAGTCTGCCTGCTTGTGTTCCCTCTCTCACTGTCTCTCTCTGTCAAATAAATAAATAAAAAAAATAAAATCTTAAAAAAAAAAAAAGAATGTAAGTTTATGTATAGTTATATCTGCCTATGTCACTTAAATGAAGACACCAAATGTGCATATATGTGTATATACATATATACATAAATATATATATGCAGGGTGTATGTGTGTATCAATATATACAACAGAGAGGATTAAAAGTGTAATACAGAACAAGAATGACCAAATGTACTATAGAAGTCTCCAAGCTACCTTTATGCAGATGAAAATGGAATTCCCTTTTATGATAATGCAGCACTCAGTTCATTAATTTGCTAGAGACTTGACATTCTAGCAAATCTCATTTTAAATTTTCTTTTATAATCACCTTTCTCTGCAAACGGATGTGCAAAGTTAAATATTTCTCCTTCTGCCTCTTTCATTATTATAGTATATAGCTGTTTTACAGTAATGGCTAGAATGCCAATCATATTCAAAAGAAGTAGTATTCCGGGCGCCTGGGTGGCTCAGTCGGTTAAGCGACTGCCTTCGGCTCAGGTCATGATCCTGGAGTCCCTGGATCGAGTCCCGCATCGGGCTCCCTGCTCGGCGGGGAGTCTGCTTCTCCCTCTGACCCTCCCCTCTCATGCTCTCTCTATCTCATTCTCTCTCTCAAATAAATAAATAAAATCTTAAAAAAAAAAAAAAAAGTAGTATTCCTTAATAAACTGACAAGGCACACAATTTTAATGTTAATTATTTATTATTTTATGTATGTGAGTCAATCCCAGGGTCATTTCTCAAATGAGAGATCAAAGAACAGGAAAATAATTCTGCTTCCTAAAGACTGCAGAAAAAGAACATATGGTAGAAATTAAGCTTAATCACACATGTCCTTCAAATATAAAAAAATAAAGAAGGGCGCCTGGGTGGCTCAGTCGTTAAGCGTCTGCCTTCGGCTCAGGTCATGATCCCAGGGTCCTGGGATTGAGCCCCACATTGGGCTCCCTGCTCTGCGGGAAGCCTGCTTCTCCCTCTCCCACTCCCTCTGCTTGTGTTCCTGCTCTCGCTATGTCTCTCTCTGTCAAATAAATAAATAAAGTCTTTAAAAAATAATAATAATAAAGAAAAAAAACCCCACAGCTTATAGGTGACACTATGCCAAGACTGCTCAAATGTAAGTTTTAAAAAAAGAAACCAATTAATAAAATTTTATTCCAAAATATTTCCTATTTTTCAGGGCTCAAATGTACTATTCAAGTCACATATCACTTCTGAAAAGTCTATATAAAATCAAGGTAAAGAAATTATAACCTTAACCATTAATAAAATACTCACTGTTAGTTCATCTTCATCAGAATTGAAGAGATTATCAAGGTCAGTATAAGAGACAGCCAGGTCTGAGTCATAAATCAAACTGGTTGATGGAGGACGGGCATGACTAGTAGGGCGTGGAGCATCTATATATGTCAATCACAGTCGATCAGAAAAACAAAAGATTCTACTACTGACCAAATAAGTATTATTCTAGTTATTTAAACTAGATATCTAACTTTAAACTTATAAGAGTATTTTGCAATAAGAAACTATGATTTGCTTAAAATCTAAAAATTTTTTCATAGAAATAAAGTTGCAAATAAACAGTAGTAATTTCTCCAGGAAGCTCACCAAAGGCTATGTAATCCATAACATGGCTAAGTACTCTGATTTTATATATCAAATAAAAAGACATACATTCTTAGGACAACAGTAGACACACACACACACACACATTTTTATTTTTCTATCTTCCTGAAATGTAAAACAAGCATTGTATGAGGACTAGGTGCTCTGGCTCTTGAGTCAGATGGACTATTAGTAATCTGAATTCCCAACTCTAACACTAATAGAATGACCCTGAGCAAGTTACTTAACCTCTCTGTACCTTAGTAATGGCAAGAATTAAACATGAAAGGACGTAGCTAAAGCACTTTGTCCAGTGCTAGGTACTTAAGTACTCAATAAATATTACCTTTTGGTTAAGATTCATTTTAGTTCTAGAATTTTACTTTCCTTTTTCTCCCCCCCTCACCAATTATAGTGGAAAAAATACATGATTACTTAAAAAAAAAAATAAATAAAAACACCAATGGAAGTTAAACTCCTCTTACATTCCCACACAAAAAAACCAAATTTGCAGTTTGGTATATAACCTTCTAAAGCATCCTTGGAATATCAAGTGACTTGAAATAGTCCTCATTTTCAGAAAGAGAAAAGCCACTTTCCAAGTGCCTCTGTATGTCCGTTCTAAAAATTCACTGGAGCACTAATTCTGAAATTTGGTGTAAAAAAAATCATCTAGGGCACTTAGTAAAAACCAAGATCTCCAAGCTCCACCTCAAAAGATGCTCCAGAATGTGGTACGTGGTCTGTATTTTGAGAAAGCACAAAATAGCGATTATACATTCTCTACATCCTAGGGTAGGTAAACAGCCCAAAGAACCCAAACTGTTAACTTACCAAGCTACTCAGAATTATCAACTGATTTTGCTTCATTAAAGACCATTTCTTCCTTATTCTTGTTTTTGGTTGCACAGAGCCTGACCCTCTCTATCCCAAATATTAAAACAAAACTTTGTCCCTAAACAAACACCTACAGAAGGACAACTTCCTTTGCCTTCATCAAAAGTTAAATAGATTTTGTTAAAGAAATAATGTGTTGTGTCCGTCTATTCCAAGCACAACAAGCACTAGTCAGATACTTTACTTTCAAAGTGGAGCCTTGGCCTCAGTGGCAAGAACTGTGCCTACATATAATACCTACTTGATAAATATTTGTTAAATTAATAATTTCAGCAACCGTTCTTCTAATTTGAGTGAGAGAGAAAAGGACAACAAAATTATAGTTAAGCCTAATTTATAAGTTTTCAGATCTGAGAGGGACCTTAAGTGATGATCTTTTTAAATCTCATTTTATAGATAAGAACTATTTTTATTTGTGAGAAAGTAAAGTTCCAACAATTGAAAACAGAATTTCTATCACCTCAACTGCTTCTCCCAGTACAAAATAAACAATAAATCTATCATTTTAAGATAGGTACCTCTCCATGAAACATATGAATTATGCAAAAAGGAACACTGTAAGTCCAGTAATATCAAATTAGCTTGTAGTAATAATCCTTCAATGCCATTATTTTTATTAGGAAATAGAAGTTTTACCTTGCTTGATAGAGGGACTAAATAATGACATAGCATCTTCCTCATGTGATAACACTGTTACACTAGATGGCCCATCTTCTACCTGCAAACAGTATTACATATTAGATTGAAATATGTAATTTAAAATAACAAAATCTTCCAACTATTGAGTAACTACGTGTCAAGCATACTGCAGTGTTCTACAGACATACTAATTCCCACAACTAACCTATATAATAAGTACTATGCTCAACTTACAGACAAAAAATAGTGTTAAAGATAACCCAGGAAATATATCTGATAAATAAATAGTGGAGCTGGGATTCCAACAAAAATCTGTCAATTTCCAAAGTGCATGTTCTTTCTACAGTACCTATAGCCTTCCCAGCTACTGCTGTTTTCATATTTACAAAAGGACAAAACTTCAAGTACCGGGCACGGAGTAAGGCTAAAAATTTTGTGAAATGAATTCTCTGTATTAAACTTATTATTGGGTTCTTTTCACAATTTTATAGCTTTTAAATTTCCATATATTGTATTTAAGGCAAAATTCTTATCTAACAGAGTTACCTTGTGCTTAATAGATCCTCTGATTTTTAAAATTTTAATAAATATTTCTATATCCTATGCTAAATATATTACTTCAAGGGACACTATAAGTTCTTAACTCACATTTAAAAATATCGTATATTTTGTAAACTAAGCATTGTGTATTTTATTGTATTTTTGAAAACTGGCAATTCACCTATAACATATTTTAACTCAGTATCAAAATAGTTTATCTAACTAAATGTAAACAATAAAAAAATCTTTTCTTTATGAGAGACCAGCTATAAAGTCCACACAGCTCTTAAATTTTGTATAATGTGCCTGATTCACCTATTAAAAAAAAAAAAAAAAAGTTTTCCTGGGGCACGTGGGTGGCTCAGTCAGTTAAGCATCCCAACTCTTGATTTTGACTCAGGTCATGATATCAGGGTCATGAGCTTGAGCCCCATGTTGGGCTCTGTGCTGGGCGTGGAGCCTGCTTAAGATTCTCTTTCCGGGCGCCTGTGTGGCTCAGTTGGTTAAGCGTCTCTGCCTTCAGCTCAGGTCATGATCTCAGGGTCCTGGGATCGAGCCCCCCATTAGGTTTCCCTGCTCATCAGGGAGTCTGCTTCTTCCTCTCCCTCTGCCCCTCCCCCTCCCTGCTCCTGCTCTCTCTGATAAATAAAATCTTAAAAAAAAAAAAAAAAAGATTCTGTCTCTGCCCTCCCCCCACCCTGGTCCTTCTTGCTCTATCTCTTTAAAAAAAAAAAAAAAGTTTTCCTAAGTTACAATGATAAATTTTTTTTTTTAATCTGTTCTATTTTAAAAGAAAACAATGAGAAGTGTGGTACCTATATGCAGTGTTACAAATCATCAGTCACCCTTTGGTGTACTTTGATTTCTTTTACTCACCTTATGTTTTTTTACAGCTTCTCTCTCACTATTTTGTCTGTCTTTCTTATCAGGAAAAAGGAATTCCTCATCTCCTTCAACAAATGCATATGGATCGATTTTAGATTCTTGCTCTGCATCAGATGCTATTGCTGAAAGATACTGATTTTTAATTTGATATTGCTGTACTAATTCATCAGAAACTTTTAAAGGTTTCTTACATTGCACCATTAACCTGCATAAAAAAACAAAATTAGAAAATTAATTATATTTATTTTCCATAAAAGCAGAAAAAAATTCCAATATGACTTAAGAATCACGAAGTTTTCAGGATTATTTAGAGATGATCTAACCTGCAATCCTTCATTTTATAAATGAAGAAATCTAAGCATAGAAAGATTATATGATTAAACCTTCAAATTTAGCAATAGAGAAATGAAGCTAAAATCTAAGCCTCCTCTCTATATGTTCTTTCCACCAAAATACACTGTCTTTTGGTAGTCCACTCTGTTCCCAGATCCTCAAATGCATTAACTTGTCCAAATCCATTCACTGAAAGGGACTGGACTGCTCCAGGACAGGAACTCTCAGAATGTGAACTATATGGTGAGACAAGTTTTATACAATTTATACATTTATACAATGAAAGTGATTATCCTTTTCCCACGCATTAGTGGATAAAGTTATAAAATTTTAAAGACCTGATCTGTTTCACAAAAATAACATTATAACTATTATTAATTCTGACAAGAGGTTTTATAATGGCAAGTTTCAGTGCAAGTACCTTAGAGGCTTTTTTTGATCACTTTGGAAAAATCTATTTTTATATTATCAGCCTTATGGTTTCACATGGTGACTAATAAACATACGTTTTTTTGTATTCTCCTAAAATAACCAATAAAATGACAAAGGACAACAGAATAAGAGAGGAAACAACAGTGAAGTTGGAAAGACAAACTAGTAGAAACTGACAGACCAGAGAAAGTTGAAATCTAAGGTTAAGAGAAAGAAGACACAACAAGCTGATCTGTTCCACCAGAATCCTGGAAAGCATCAGGACTTTTCTATCTCTGAAGACCAGGTTGCTTGGTGAGTGTGAATACTGAATGATTTGATTTTGTTTTGTATAAGACACTTTTTGACTCCCAAATTCATGTTCTCTGTGGTTTGTAAAGCTGAGTTTCCCATGCTGCCAGAAAGCAGCAGCTAGGCTTCTAGTCAGACCATGATCAAAATCCTGCAAGGACTATTTAATTCTGAATAGAAACTAAAGTCCTTGTAATAGCCTACCAAAGCTTTCCATATCTTTCTTTTCTTTTCCTCTCCAACTTCATCTTCTGTTACTCTACTCCTTCCTCTCTCACTCTGCTTCCAAGAACTTTCTTGATGTTCCTCAAATAGGCCAGATATACTGCTGGCTGTTCCCTTTGTTTGGAGCACTCTTTCTTGAAATAGCATGGCCATCTCCCTCACTTCTAAAAGTTTCTGTTCAAATGTCACCTTATGTATGAATCTTCATTTAAAATCACAAAATGCCCAACTGCCTCAACACTGAACCCCCTTGTCCCGCTCTATTTTTCCACCCACAGCACTTATCTTTAAATATTCTTATATAACTTGCTTATGTTCATTGTTGACTGTCACTCTCAAAGAATGTAAGCCCCTAAATGATGGGGATCTTGTCTTTGTTCACTGAATTATCCCAAATGCCTAGAACAGCACCTCGCACGTTAAAGTTACAAGTATTTCCTAAATGAATACGTCAAATCTAAAAGTCACATAGGATAGAGATGTTGTGGTTGCACTAATAATCCTAAAATACAGTACCTTGTACTTTGAAAATAAGCCATCTTTTATTCATCAGAAAGTGATACTGCTACCACTTATCTGTCCTACAATTTAGGACAAAAAATCCTAAGAGACGTTAAGATTTGGGAATGATGAAGGCATTTCCTAGCTCATAAAATCTTTGAGTGAATGGGATAGATCTTTAAATCTATTCACCAATGCCCAGCACTAGAAGCACTCTATACTCTATAAACGAAGGTTGAAACAGAGGCCATCAAAAAGATAACTGATATTTTCTAAACTTATCAAATATCGTTAAGTACCATTTTTATTCCCAATATGCCCTAGATTTATCCCCAAAACTAAAATCCCATGTCTATAAAAACGTTCTTCCATGAGAACATGGTGCTATCTAGTCAACAGGGATATGTTTTACAATTAATTGTTAAAATAGGGCGCCTGGGTGGCTCAGTCAGTTAAGTGTCTGCCTTCAGCTCAGGCCATGATCCTGCGTCGGTCTCCCTGTTCAGTGGGGAGCCTACTTCTCCCTCTCCCTCTGCCCGCACCCCTGCTCATGCTCTGTCTCTAAAAAACCCCACAATTGTTAGAATAGTTCTGTTCTATAAATGAACATTTATTTCTTAAGAGTAGCTTTATACCTTACCATGTTAGACCCTAAATAACTGTTTTTTTGAACTATTAGATTCTAACATAAATACTTTGAAAACAGTTTTTCCATCTACTTTGACATAGATTTTCTTACTTAATACTTAAAAATTAACAAGATAAGACATGAAGGGTATCTTCTCTTTGATGTGCAAATTATGCAGAAAAAAATGGTTTGCTAAGGTAATTTATAGCAAAGGTAGGGCTAGACAGATTTTAAGTACGTGTATTCAAATAACTATTCATAGGGGAAAAGTGTAAGATCCCACTACCCCTCCCCACCACCAACCTGAAAGACACTACTACTCTGTGAAGGGCTGAATAAAACAACTCTGTTTTTCATATTAAGTTGTCCTCTGGCAGAAGCAGGAAAACTGCCACACTGTTTATATAGGTAGTTAAATTAGTGTGCAGTAACATTAAAAGGACCAATGCTACTGCATAGGGCTCTATGAAGAATAAAAATGAGTAAACCAAATGCAGTGCCTAAAGACAACTTGTTACTTTATTGAATGGTTCTCACAAACATTGGGATATGCAAAGAATTTAAATGTAGTTAATAATACCAAGAATATCAAGTCACAACAAATTTTAAAATATAATTTACATTACACATCCTTCTATATTTAAAAATGGTAAGAATAGAAAAAATGGTGATTTTTAAAAGATGCCAGATTAAAAACTCAGTTATTTCATCACTATCCAATTATATAGTATACACATACTTTTGCAAAACAGGAATAACACTTCTCCTTTTCTAAAACAAACTCTCACATATGACCAAATGGTTAACGACAGAGATAGTTTCAATCAGATATAAAGCTAAATATACAGACCAACTAGAAGAGGATTAGGTACAGCCATGAACAGGAAGCTTTGCAAAGCCCAAAGCAAACTGAAATTACTTTTATATTATTAATTGTACCTTTCCTTTTACTATGACAACAGTAACATTCTATCCTAAAAATAATTATATATATATATTTTTTAAAGATTTATTTATTTGAGAGAGAGAGAACGTCTGCGCACATAAGCAGGGGGAAGGGCAGAGGGAGACGAAGAGAATCTCAAGCAGACTCCCCATTGAGCATGGAGCCTGACGAGGGGTTTGATCTCACCACCCGAGAGATCATGACCTGAGCCGAAATCAATAGTCGGGACACTTAACTGACTGAGCCACCCAGATGCCCCTCCTGAAATACAGTTGTAGAGAATTTAACATAGCTCAGAGTAGCACATGCTTTTAGGCCTTTATTCAATCAAAATTTTTCCAGACAAGATATGAAAATATTTTAGGACTGACAATTATAAAAGGAGATAAGCTATAGGAGGAGATGTCAAGGAATAAATGAATTCAATAAATATCAAAAATCCTCTATTTTCTTTAATGGTACCTTTTCTAATACCAGCTCCAATCTTCAGAATCAATCCTTAAATGGAGTCAAGCTTGCTGTCAAAAGTATAGCTTTATTGTAGTAAGACACCAAATAAGATTTACTTAAAAAGATTTAGAATACAGTAAATCAAAGGTTTATTTCATCATAGACTTCTATGAAACAATTCAAAACAATTAGAAACTAACTTTTAGAGGGCAAATAACACATTCTATAAACTATTTAACATATACAATAAAAATTGGGTATATCACTAATACAACATAGGAGCTAGTTCTATTGATGAATGGTATGGTTAAAATATCCTGATGTATGTAGCCTTACTACCAAACAAGACATGATACAAATATGCTCAAGTATAGTTCGTCCTTTCTCAGGGTTTAGAAATGTTTCCCTCTGAATCAGAATAGAAGACTATTTTAAGCAATCACAAATACTACTAGAACTAAGTGCTAAACACTTGAAAAATGATATTAAAAACTGTAATGTTTCTTTGCAGAAACTTCGCTATCTTTAACTTATAAGGTCTTAAAAGCCACTATTCTAAAATAGATGCTACCATTAACTAATAGAGAAACTAAAAATAACTAGAAGCAAAAAGAGGATAGCCACAGATGTGTATACCGTGTGTGTAGGCTATGCTATGTGCCACCCCAACCTCTCTCTCTCTCCTTGAACAAATTCTAAAAAATTAAAAAAGGAATTTTGCTTTAAAATAGTTGCTAAAAAATCTGGCATCAACTGCTGCACACTGACAGAGTCTAAGAATAGGGAAGGTGCTAGAAATGATGAATCCTATTACTCTGTACTAGTCAGGCAGCCAACACCACCTAACATTAATTAGAAAAGCCAAGAGTATTGTTTTCTTTTGTTTTTCCACCTATTATGGAAGCACAGTGCCACCCTTTAACAGCAATCAATGGAAAAATTTATACGAAAGGGAAACAGTTTTCACTTAACATAAATAAAACAAACCTCCAAATTTCTCCATCACTTTCTAAAAAGACACACACCTGTAAAAGTAAATTTTTATTTAAAAAATGTTTCTTTTTAAATTTCTACTGATACATTCTTGCCTCTCTTTGCCTCTGTATTACTCCAACTGGGTTAATGTAAGTTTTCTCCTAAGCTTTAGACACTTGACAACTGCCTGACTGCATCTTTAAGCAGGCTCCTAAAATGAATTCACAAATTTACAACATATATGTACTACAAGCACATAGTTAGAAGTCATATTGTACACTAAGGCATAACTGAGACATATAAATTTCTCAATCCCTCTCCTTCAAGATAACAAGGGGTTAACAGTTTCTTTCACTTTAAAAAAAATTATAAAATTAAGCTTAAGATCTAGTCTAAAGTAAGTAAAAAAGTAGAAAAGAAGCAT